TTAATTGACAACATTTGTGTATTTTGTAGGATGAGTTGCTTGTGTACAATTAAAAATTGTCAATTGAAGCCACTTCATAATATTTGGAAGGTAAGTATATGGTATCTTCAATTCCTAGAGTTTACAATGCTCATTTTCCAATATTGAACCTAAAGTTAATAGTTTATATGGTAAAAAAACTTCAAGAGTGCTAGATTCTTTTTGCCTGTAATGGCCTTTGCGTATATGCACGTGCCAAATGTATAGTGAGTAGTTATTTATGTGCATTTGATTTTATGTTTCAACAATGAATACATATCTGCATCTGCCCAAAAAAATCAGAGGGTAAATGACTTAATATGAATTGAAGTTTTGGTAGTGGTTTGCTGGTTGTAGATATTGTGATGGCGAGCCTACTGACGATGTAGCAAAGTTCTACAAATGGTTTAGAGGAAAAAGATAGAGGGGATTCGCTTGAGAATCTTCAGTATGAAGTATTTAGCCTCGAAAACTAGCAATATGAGCATTTGAACAAGGTCTAACATAGATTTAACTTCTATCTTCTATATCATTTGGTATGCTGGCCCATGATCTTTAAATATAATGCCGTGATTGTCTGTTAAAGGGTTCTTGTTTATTTACTATGCGGTGAAATAAATTGCGATTGTGGTGCATAATCTTGTCATCGAGCAAGGTATGTTTTTTATTTTATTATTCTTCCATTGATTAAAATTTCTTGGTCTTACTTTAGACACATGAGATGTTTATTTCCATTCTCTAAGTTGTGTTCATACTTTTTTATATGATCATTTAATCTCCTATTTAAACCCCATTATTCAAAAACTCACTTTTTTAAGTATGTATTTTTTTACTACTGCCTTGACTTTATATTGTAGTTTTGTCACAGAATGTCAAAGGGGAAGCTTGTTAGGTATTTAATGTAATTGACAAATCTGTGAACAAAAGGGACTTAAATTGAAATGTCGTAAAAGTCAAGGAGTAATGTGCAAATAGTAGAAAGTTATGTTATATTAGGTCTAGGGTTCAAGAATGGAAAAGAAGGAAAAACGACGTCGGAATATCGCTAGCTTATCGCCAAGGATTGGCTCAAGCGTCAGAGATAGAAACTGCATCTCCCACCTGTCGACTCACCTTCGCTCGAGGGACAATCTGTCGCTCGACTGTTGCTCACCTTTCGCTCGAGCAACAGTGCTATCCAGGAATTTTTCTAATTCATTTTTTAAAGGTTTTTTGTCCGACCCATTCATTCTCTAACCTACATATAAATATCCAAACGCCACATAACAGTTTTACAAGATTGAATATTGAGAGAAACACATTCATTTGAGATCATCGTAATATATTTTGCTTTCAACCTTCATCCTGCTATGGGCGGTGAAAACATCAGATTCATAAACCAAATATCAAACTGCTACTTTCTTCATATCTGTCAGAATTTCTGAAAATCAAGGGAAGGTGACTGGAGTTACAGTCGTTGAAGAACGTGGTGTTCTTCGTGTATCCACAGAAGATAGACGATTTCAAAAAGTTAGGAGTTGCTGTAGGACAGCGCAATCCAGTAGAACTTTGAAAACTGCAGCTAGGAGTTGGTGCAGGAGCACAAAATCCAGGAGAGCTGTTGGTATTGCAGTCAAGAGATCAGATAGTACATGTCGTCGTCTAGTCTGGTCGACTGTAAGTTATAAATCGCTTATAGTGGATTGGTGACTGGCAAAGTGGTCGGAGTTTTTACCCAATTGAGGTTTCTCCGTGATCATACCGTGTGTTATTTATTACTTTATTTACTGTTTTTATATTTTGCGATATTCAAACATATGATAATTGAACTGATTGCATAATCATTTAGAGATAATCAATTAGTGACTTATTGCTAATTAATTATAATTTGTTAATTCCGCATTTACAACTATTCACCCCCTTTAGGTGTAGTTAGGGTCGAACTATGTATTTTCAATGTGTACACTGGAATGTCACAAATTACACATTATAATCAATTCTGTATTCAATTTTCATGTTGGCATATCCATTTGTATTCATCTCTGTTAATTTAATTTAGGATCACTCATTCCTGTCCATATTAAATTTTCATGGTTTAATAATGAATTAAATCAATTCAAGCATAGGGTTAATGTGTGTAATGATTATTTTCTCCTTTACCAAGTGCATGTCTGGATTTATATCCGTTTGCATCAAGTCAATTGATGTTAATGAGAAAATCACTACGCCAAAAAATAGGATACAGCAACGTTCAAAAAACG